TATCGATAGAACCATTGAGAACGGATGTAGATAATCGATTTTGTGTATAGAGATAGCGGCAAGGTGTCATATGCCATAGGCCCAAGAGACGGATTTTTATTTATTTTAAAAAAATAACTGTAACAATAAAATACACTAAATTGTATTATACCTTACAATTGAATTAATAACTAGCATTGTATTTTTTATAAACAGCCACATTTTCAAATTTAGAGTAAGAGGGGCCTCAGAGTTGTCAGGTCAGTCAAGAATTTTCCTGCTAAACTTAACTAAATTTTCCCCTAAATCAGCCAACTTTAACTTTAAATTTTTTATACTAATTTTTCTTTTGTTATGAACAAAATTATCCCTCTAGAATAAGATGAGAAGATAAATTCTAAAAGACGTTTACTAAATTTTATGTAACTAAAAATAAGATTTAATTATTTTTATATTTATTTAATTCAATATATTTAATAATACTTTCGTTAAAAGATAAGATCAATTTAATGATTACAATCAAACTTAAAATGAATAAAGCAGACATAAATGTTAATCAATAATTAAAAAAGTGATTCAAAGTTGTTGACCAGATATGACTGTAGGGGCACACATTTCTGCAGAAAGCACATTAAACAAAATTGTTTAAATAACAATGGAAATGAGGTAAACAAGTCTTAATTTCATCTTCTTTTGTAAACTTTATTGATTTACATAATTATTAGATATTTTTTTAAATAAAAATTAAGCCTCAATCACTTAATTGATGTAATATTTTAGTTATATTTTGTAACATCTCTCTTATATTTTACAAATAATAATAATATAACCTTGGAAGCTCACTTCTTATCATTGGGATACTTCCTAAATAAATAAGAGGTTGTTTAATAATAAAAAAATTATAAGTGTTAATATATTTATTTATCTCAGGTGTAGACAATTACTGACAATAAGATCAACTCAGACAAACTATTATTATTTACACTATTTATAATGAAATTAAACACAGATTTTAAAATAAAGTCAAGTATGAATTAGCAAGCTAACCTTTTTCTATATACACTGTTTTTTCCTTTGTTGCACTAAATTCATTAGACTTCAAATGCTTTCCAATGTTCTGCCAAACACAACTTCCAAAATGGTAATAGTATTACTGGGCTTTACCCACTGGAGCCAGGTTCCTCCTCCTATCCTCTCTTCACTCCAGCCTAACATCAACTTCTTGCCAAAACAAATCCTTTGTTCCTTTCCTCTTTGGGATTTTCCTTCTTGGGAAACTACAGAGCAGCCATTTTCTTTTCCCTGCACTAGTAGAACTAGATTAGCTTGCCTTTTATTTGTTCAACATTAATTTATTAAACTCTTTTTATTCACTTCCAATAAATGTATACATTACGATTTATCAAATATTTTAATTCAGTACCAATACTAAAATGTAAAAGTGTGATAACACAATGAAAGGTACAGAAATACTATAAAAAACATATTTTATTATGTTTAAATTAAATAAATAAATATATATTTTTTTAATTAAGATAATTTTTAATTTTTCCATAAATGTGCCCCTATAGACCATCTACCCCAATGCTTTTCATCGATTTAATTGGCATTAATTACTGAGTAAATCATCCTACAAATATTCATATAATTCAATTTAGTTGTTTTGGAAAAATAAAACTGGTGTTCGAAAACAATTTTTGTCATACACAACCAGATTAGTGGGTTTTTTTATTAGTAATATATCGCCAATGAATCAATCACAGGTTTAAAAAAAAACACAAAGCATTGTTGTTAATATTTAACCCAAAATGATAATATCTATCTGTAAAACAGGTTTATTACAATTCATTCATGAAAGGAGAAATAATCAAAACAAGAGCATTTCCTTGCTTTGATAAAATATTTCCTGTAGTACTAAGAGGATCTAGGTTAAACTTTCATTGCCTCAAACTCAGTTTAAGCTTTGTTAATTCTGTTATGCATTGTAAATAATAGAATTAATGGAGCTTCAGGCAAACTAAGTTTGAACTAGGTTGGTGCTATGGGTCTGGTCTTACTAAAGGAAATCGTATTTACTTGTTTCACAGGTAATTTAATTATATAGAAATTACATATGATCCCTAGATTCACAATGTTATTTTGTTTTTAATGTAAACATTTAATAACAGTGGGCTGAATGAAGAAGAAGTAATATATTAAATAGTCTAGAGTGGAATAAATTAGCTTTCTTTATGAAATATTTATTAAACTATAAGCATATTTTTAATCTTAAATATTGTGTAATTTACTGGCTTATTTAATAACATTACAAGCAATGCTTTTTGTGAATTAGATAGGTTCTTCAATTTCATTTTTAAAAATAAATTTCATGAATATATAAGAATACACTGATAAATGATATTAATATATCATAAAATATTAATTTATTGACAATCTATGCTATATATATTGTTTAATGATTTATTTAATATTACTAACTGTGCTGTTCGTGAATTAAATTTTTGGGATTGATTGAAAATTTGATCCTTAACTAAATATATAAATACAGTGATTAAAAATATTAATGTGCTGATAGTACATACTAAAAATATTATTTACTGATTTATTAAATGAAATTATTAACTATGCTTTTTGTAAATCAGATGAGGGTCTTCAATTTATTTTTTTTTAAATAAATTTTATGAATATATACTGGTTAAAGATATTAATTTATTTCAAAATATTAATACATTGACAATCTATATTAAAATATTTTTAAATGAGTTATTTAAAATTAATAACTTTGCTTTTCATGAATGAAATCGATTGAAAATTTGATTCTAAACTAATAACATATATAGATTAAAAATATTAATACACTGATTAAATACTAAACATTTTGTTTACTGATTTATTTAATGAAATTCCTAACTGTACTTTTGTGAATAAGATGAGAGTCTTCGATTTAATTTTTTTCTTGAAAAACAATATGTTTATGAATGATCTTGATTCAAAATTTTGTTCTAAATTAAAAACAATATTAATATAAATAACATATGAATCCCCAAATGTAACACAAAAGTATATATTTCCGCTCATTACAGGAATATTATTACATCATGAATATTATGAACCATACTTAATAAACAAAAGCGCACAGAGTGGTAGAATGAGGAAGTATGACGTTTTGTTCAATCAAAGAAAAAAGTATAGAAAGCTTATCTTCAAGACAAAACAACTGAAAAACTAGATTAGACTAGATAAGGGTAGCTCCACAGATTGTGAATACTATAGGCCTATAAGCTTATTTTCAGTGGCTTACAAACTATACTCCTCAATCTTAGAAAAAAAATAAAGGTTTGTAGTTGAGAAACAAATAGAGAGCAAACAAGCAGGCTTTCATCCAGGGAGGCAGACTCAAGATCACATTTTTGTGCTAAGAGGCATCACAGAGAAAGCATGTGACAGAGACGAGAACATATACATGGACCTTGAAGCAGCATTTGACTCTGTTCCAAGACAAGAAATAAGGGATACTTTGGCGGCAAAAAATGTCCCAGCTGATCTTATCATGGCAATTAGGCAGCAAAAGAAATAGTAAGGATTAATGGTAGAGAGTCCAAACCTTTTCCCATGGAGAGAGGAGTCAGACAGGGAGACAGCCTAAGTCTCCTCTTATTCATCATATTTATGGATGGAATCCATAAAATATGTAAGCCTAGCTTGGACGGTCATCGGAAAATGGAACATGAGGAATATTATGGTCCAAAGCCTACTACATGTCGATGACATAATTCTGATTGCGGACATGAAAGACAAGTTGCAGCAGACCTTAGTAGAATGGCTGGAAGAACTCCTCCACAAAGATATGATTATTAATAGTTCCAAAAGCAAAGTCCTAGTAATATCAAGAGATGAACTAGAGGACGTCCAGCTGATCTGTAATGGAGAGGTACTTGAAATTTTGCAAAAATTAACCTATTTGGGGAAGATTATCAGCATAGTTGGGCACAGGGAAGTTGGCAAGGAAACAAAAAGGCACATATATAAGTCGGTATACCTCCCAACCCATATGTATGGAATGGAAAGCTGGATTATGCTGGACAAGCAAGTTAGCCATATGACAGCAGTCGAGATGAAGTTCCTAGATGAAGTACCTAGATGAAGACCAGGAGGGACCTTGTCAGGAATGAACGCATAAAAGAGCATCTACAGGTAGCGGACCTGAGGACATTACTGGAAAACCGACAGTTGAAGTGGTGGGGCCACGTTTGTTGGATGGAGAAGGAGAGAGATCCGTGAAAGGTTCTGGAAGCTTGACCCACTCGGAGGAAGCCGAGGGGTCACCCCAGAATTTTCTATCAGGAGTATATGCAGCGGATTGGAGAGAAGAGAGGCAAAACCCTCCAGGAAATAAGGCGGCTTAGTAGGGACCGAGAGCCATGGTTGCATTGGATTGAGGCTCCTCGACACTAGTAATGGCACGAAGAGGAAGACAAGGAAGAAGAAGATAAATAGTTATTAAAATTTTACCATATAATCAAAGAAACTTTAAAAAAAATTTGGAGAGCCACTATGAACTGTTTTAATCCAATGAAAGGTCAGGTAACCCTTTTAAAACCGAACCTATGATCTAAGCATTGATTTACAAGTGATAGAACAAAAATGTAATCTGCAACATCATCTGGGTTTTAAAGAGTCTTCGGATTACTGGGTAATATGAAGGGGAAAAAACGTATATAAAAGTCGGTTATACCAGAGATAACATTCTTTATAAAACGAGTTATTAACAAGCTTCTAATAAGTGCAAAAATATCTATAACATTTTATGTAATTTATACCAATTTGTTGAAAATGTTAACATAAATGCTGTGTGTAGAATTATTCCTTGTATTTTTTATTATATTGTAATAATTTTATTTTAGATCACCAAAGTTTTGAAAAGTCACAAATGATTTCAGTAGAGAATTGTCTATAATTTTTAAGTTTTATTTATATTTGTATACATCAATAAAATTTGATATTTGTATATTTTGATATAGGGTACAAGGTGTCTGATACAATGAGAAAGGGAATTCTGGATGTCACGTTATACGAAGGTTCTGAACAAGAACTTATGCTTGGTTGTTTATCTTCCTTAAGTAAGTTTTTTTTTATCTTTAAAAATTTTTCATCTTTATGTTTAGATATACATATGAAAATATAAGTAGATGCATATATTATTTTACAAAAAATAAAATAAATTATTTAATCTCACAATATTTTCTATTAAAAATAAATATTGTTAAGCACCATTGATATGAAGCTTTTAGTTTGTATCATTTCTGTTTAATTTTAAAATGTTATTTTTTATTATGTTTCTTTACCTAACTAAGTGTTCTTTTCTATATGTATATGTATAAATATTTTTTAAAAATTTGAAATGATTTTCTTTTAAGCTTATATTTCTACTTATTAGCCTTGTCAATTTGTCATTCCCTTATAATTTTATCGTAATTGTAAATTAAAAAATTTTTTTTTTTTTATTTCTAGTTGGAAGTGGTATTTGGCTGATGGCAGCAACATTTTTGAAGTTGCCGATATCTGGGACTCATTCTATAGTAGGCGCCACTGTTGGATTTTCTCTCGTTTGTCGAGGAACAAGTGGTTTGCATTTAAGAACTTTGACTACTATAGGTTTGTATCAATATATTAATTTAAGAATATTGCAGGAAACTAAAAACATAAAATCTTATAATTTATTTTAACTATTATTTGTATTATTTATCTAATCATATGGAATTCATTTGTTAAAATTGAACAAAAAAAAGTTTGAACTTTAAAACAAAATTTATTAAGATTTTTAATAATTTTTCATTCATTTAATTTTTTTTTCAATTTGTGTTTAAAAGTTCATAATTTTATTTGATCTTTTAATAACTATCGGTGAATGAACTTTTTCTTTTATTATACTTTATTATTGACTAGTTAACAATTCTGTAATCCACGTCCTCATCTTCCTGACCTCTTAAACCATTGAACTGTTTTTAATGTGATTATCTTTTGTTCTCCATTATCCCTTATTAGTCATCTATTTAATTAATTTTGTCATAATTTTGAATATTCATTTCATTCATGTAATGAATTCCAAAAATTTTATTCTCTTCTTATTGATTGTGAATTGTTTATAATTAAAAGAAGAATGGTCAGGATGAGCAATCAAAAAATTATGTTTATTGAGTTTACTGATGTTTCCTGGGTGGAAAGGTACAAAATTTGTGTAACTTTGTGTATCATCATGAGGGCTAAAAATTCAAAATTACATCAGAAAAATGTTAAATATAAAAGTTTAAGGGAAGAAAAAGGTGGAATTTACAAATGAGATAATGGTAATATAAACACAATAATACAAATATTACAATATGCTCAGAAATTGTTTTCTTACCATAGTGTAATGTTCTTATCAGGTGTTATGGAAAAAGGTGAAAGGCACAAATAGGTTAAAGTTCATATAAAAACATTAAAATATGCTAAGAAAATTTTTTATACACTGACAGGCAAAAAATTCCACCCACTTGATTTATTCATGTTTTCATCTATATTTCGTCTAAAAAAATTTGTATTTGTATATACTTAGTATTTATGGAATTTTATAATCTTTTTTACCTTTAATAATCAAAATGTGATTGGGTAAGAAAGATTAGAGAAAAAAAATTGAAAAACAAACCATTATTATTCTAAAAGAAATTAATTACATCATCGTTTAGTAGCGTGTGTTTCCTTCTCTTGCCTTCACTACTTCTTGAAGACGCCTCAGCATACTTTCCACCAGTCAGGAAATGTCCCTTTGCTGGAGGATAGCCCATTCCTCCGGAAAAGCCCTTTCAAGGTCCTGCAGTGTATCAGGAAGTGTTGCATGCGCTCTTATTCGTCTTCCGAGGTTATTCCATAAATGCTCAATGGGGTTCAAATCTGGATAACGTGCTGGCCAGGCTAAAACCTCAATATTGTTCTGTTGAAGGAACGTCTGCACTATGTGGGCGTGCATAATCGTGCATTAGAATAGAATGATCGCCGATTTCGTTGAGGATAGGATAGGCTGAGGTTAGGTTGAGGATGATTGACTGTAGAGAATAACTGCAAAGAAGAATGGTTGGGGTAATCAGTAAAAAAAAAACAAATTATAAAAATAAATAAGTATATTTATTTTTATTTTTGCCAAGTTTCAGCCCAAAGTTCAGGGCTGGACAACAAAAGGATTCCAGAAGTGACCAGCCCTGATGAACTTTGGGCTGAAACGTCGGCAACAATAAACATAAATATACTTATTTATTTTTATAATTTGTTTTTTTGACTGATCATCCAAACCATTCTTCTCTTCAATTATATATTTAATATGAATAAGAAAGGTTAGATACCACAGACACCATGCTGGGATTTACTAGATTTAGTTATATTTAATATCTGATTTCCTTTCTAAAGGTATTATGTAACCAATACACTTATTATATCTAAATGGTTGCCTATTTGAAAAAAATTAATTATTTAACAATAAAGCTGCTGTTCATTATAAAAACTGAGAGAGGGTGGATTTATTGATGTATTTGATAAATCAAACTGTGCTCTATAAAGAGTTGAACTATTTAATTTTACACTATTACACATTCTAGCCTGTTTTTCTTTTTTCTAAGTTGATACATTTTTATAAATTTAATTTTCATATTTAAAACATTACATATTTTCTCTTACGTTGTTTCAGTTGCATCGTGGTTTGTATCTCCAGTATTGTCAGGGATCGTCTCGGTCGTTCTCTATAGAGCAATTCAGGGACTGATCATCCGAGCAGAAAACCCTTTGACCCCGGCACTTAGAGCTCTCCCCTTCATCTATTTGGCAACTGTAGCTGTAAACGTTTTTTCTGTCGTTCATGATGGACCCAAATGTTAGTACAACATTAAAAGATAAAATAATTATATTATGACTAAAATAAAACTGGAAAATATATTGTATATTCAATTTCATTAGAAAGCCATGTAAATATAAATAAGGTCATTTGACATTTCAGATAGCATCCATTTCTTTCTCATATATTTTATTATTTATAATAAAACCAAAAGGCCTTTTAATGTACATATTGTGACGGAAATTTTATTTGATTGACTGTAAAGATGACTCATCTTTAATAAATTATAATAACAAAGTACAAATGTAAATTATTATTATATTGAAATATTTAAAACAAGAATATGTGTAAATTAAGTTAAAATGGTTTATTGTTCATGATATAAAGAACAAAATTTTCTGAAGATGGAGAGTGTTCGAAAAGTCAAACATGAATTATAAATAATAAAATATATGAGGAAGAAATGGATGATATTTGAAATGTCAAATGACTTTAGGAAAATATATTATAGTTATATATCATCGGTTAACTGCACAAAGTCACCAAGACATGTTTGATGTAGCTAACCTTTTAAGTACATTTTTTATGAATTTTCGATCTTATTTATCAATGCAAAAACAAAAAATATAGTAAGTGTATAAAAATGAAATAATCCTTTTATACATCTAAAATAATTTACACTAAGTGTAAATGTTATAATTTCACATTGTGAAAATATCTTTAAGTACTTAGTGATTTGAACTTATGAAATATTACTAAATGAATTTTTGCAATAAATCCACAATATATTAATTGGACCATTCCCAGTTTTATTTCTGTTAAAACATATTGTTTTGTTTTATTTTAATATCAGGTAGAATATTTTAAATTTATAATTTAAAAAAAATAATCTACTCTAATTCAAAATAGTTAATTACTTTCTATCCATAATTAATAGCCACAAAATGTTATTATAATGAGTTCACAATTTCAGTGTCATGAAAAATAAATAAAAATAACAAATATTGAAAATAATTGATTACTTCCATGGTTTATCAATTTTGATTTGGTGATGGTTATGTTGAAATGATAAAAGTCCTGAATTTTCAGATGCATATTTGCAGAAATAAGTAATATTAAAGTAAAATGGTGGGGACGGTGCTACATTAAGAAGAGTTGGGACAGAGCTTTGTCATGAGCTACCAGTGCCTAGCTCATACATTTTTTTTAGCTTACAATTGTGTTAACAACATCAAAATTTCCTTTCAAGAAATATCTTCCCATTTTTTCTTTCACTTAGCCATAACTGAATAAACATATTTGGTTTGAAATGTATTGGCTTTTAGCTTTTCTAAATATTTTTTTATTTTTATTTTTATTATTGAAATTTACAACTGAATTAAATCATAAGTACAAGTAAATATGAAACAAGTAATATGACATGTATAACATGAAAAGAAACTACCCATTGGTAGCACTCCAATTATATTTCTACATTAGAAGGTCCCGAGGCCATCTTCTTTTCAGACGCCTCAGAGGGTTATCAGGAATAGAAGAGGAAGCAAGGTTGGAAACAAGAGGGTTCAGATGGTTCAGAAGTTTTTTACGGAAGGATAGGTATCTAGATTGAGCTAAATCGGAAACATATGGTACATTAAAGTCGCTATGGATGATTTTATTTGTGACAAAGTAGGGAGCATTGAGGATTTCACGAAGGATTTTTGATCATAGGGATTGAATACGAGAGGAATTTGATGGTTTAGAAGAGTCCTAAAGCTCGATCCCGTAAGTCCAGATAGGCCTGATTATAGTAATATATATGAGTCTTTTGTAAATAGTTGGAAGTTTAGAGTTTTTTTCTAAATGTATATTTATAAACTGGAGCTAAGGGAAATTTGATAATATCATGTCATGGTGTTTTTCAGGATTTATGTCTAAAAGGTCAATTTAATTTAATCATATTATATTATTAAAAATTCTTAAAATAATTTTAATACATAGTAATCACAAAAAATCATTAGAAATTCCATTATATCTGTAAGACAGTAGTCAAGCTATTAAATATGAAGATGATGGAGGAAAAGCAGGCCATACGCAAAACAAGTGAATAAGAAAACAAAATTTTAAACTTTGATGCTGCCTTATATCTCTCCGTTTAGCTATTTTTCAAAACAATTTTTAACAGTGACAGAAATTTTCTAGTAATAGGATTGTAATATTTTCTTCAACTATTTTAGCCCAACAATAGTTCACATTGGATAAATGTATCATTTTGTTTTCCTTCCATGGTTTTTCGACTAGCATACTTTGAAAATGTTTAAAATATCATTAGTTTATAAGTTTGAGATAATATAAACTACACTTTTATGTTACTAAAAATTATAATTGTTAATAGCAGTTCAAAAAGATAGTATATTCCAAATGGTGAATTTAAGAAATTCATGCCAAATACTTATTTAAAGTACTTTTTGTACATTGAAACTAAAATTGATTTTTATTTATTTATTTTAATTTAATTGAATGCTACGGCTTTATATTACTTGAAAAATTAAAAAAATTTTGCTCCAAAACTTTTTTGAATAATATTTTTGATAAAATTACATTTTATATACTATTTACATTTTTTTTTCTCTTGATTTTCCTGCAAGTCTAAAAAGATTTTTTCTATGTAGGTAGCAAAATTAAGATGTTATAATAACTTAATTAGTTAATATTTCAGTTGTATCCCCATTTTCAGAACTTAATATCACAGAAGACACAATAATTTTTATTGTAAATCTTTCTGTTAATGTGAAAATAATAAAATTACATCTGCAGACATTTATTCTTAGCTTAAAACTTGGGATTTCATGGCTTTTGAAATGCCTTTATTCCAGATTGTAAATGAAATTACCAATTTATTAAAAATAAACTACTAAAATTTATTCCATGTGAAGTTTTTTTGTTTTGTTTCTTTATTTATTGATAATGGTAATATTTTTTCTTTCAGTGTTGTATTTGAATAATATACCACTGTGGATTAGCTGTGCAGTTAGTATTGGTTTCGGAATTGTAGCTGCTATTATTGTTCAGTTTGTTTTTGTTCCTGCTCAAAAGAAACTTGTACTTGGTAAGTAAAAAAGCATTTCTTTATGTTATTTTTAATGCTTATTTTATGTTAAATTTCTTATATTTATTGCTTATTGAATTCCTGATATTTTTTGTGATTTCAAACCCTCCTCTTTTTTTTTTTTTAGTATACTTCATAACTTTTATTTTAATTTAAGATTTATGTTCGTGTGTATTGAGAATGCTTTTTATAGTTCTTGCATTGAGGGGTCATGTATTTTATACTTTATTGCATTGCACCAATTTTAAAATTTTTTTTAGTTGAAATTCAGATGATTGTTTCTTGACTAACCATTTTATATGATAGTATTAAGACTAATACATCTTATATTATAGTATTAAGACTAAAGCAAAACTATGCATGAAATAAACATGATAGGTAATCAACAGTTTTTTAAATAAACAAATAAAGAATACTGCAAATGAATAATTAATTTAAAATTTATGAATCCATATTTATTTTTTCTACATTTTATATTTTTTCGAATGTTTGTTGTTCAATATATAGAGAATAGCTCATATTTTCTGGAAGAATGGAACAGAATATTAATACTTTAGTGGATAATAAGTGCAATAACAAAATATATAGACATGTAAATAATCAGGCAATCTATTGAATTTTATCAACTATCTCAGAAAAATATAAGAGAATGGAGAATTGGATTAGAAGTCAGAACTGCAAGGAATATAGGCTGTCTGCACAAGTTGGTGCGTTGCTCATAGGCCACAACCAAATTAGTTTTTTTTTTTTGTTCTTTAAGATCTTTAGTAATGATACACTTATATAGTGATCATTACTAATTGAGGCGTTGACATGGAAAAGATACTCAGTAAAAAAAAATCATTTTTCATTTGTTTCATAGAAAAGGTTAATTATTAGTCATGTCAGTGTTGTAGAAAGAGGAGTAAGTCAACAATTGGAATAGTTTAGTTTCTATGAACGGATTTTTTATTTTATTTATTGAGAAATATAATATTCTGTCACTTGGACAATAATTATAATGAGGTAAGACTTTAATCGCATTATATATACACAAAATGTAAAATAACAACTAAATAATAATAAACAAGATTAAAACTTAAAAAGAAGTGTCAAAACGGTGTTTTGCTTCTCCTGTAAACCTGTAAACCTTTTCATAACTTACTACCTTTTCCATGTCAATGCCTCAATTGTTGAAGTATTTTTATTATTATATTGAGGGAATATTATTATATCGAAGAGAAAATAACGAATGCTACTGAGAAGCTAAAGAGCAAGAAGGCACCAAATAACAATATGGAATTATTTATTTTATTTCAATTTTAATATAAATATATACATATATTTTTCATTGTTCCTTTCACATTGCTATAAGTAAATTTCATTTTCCATCTCATTGCTACATTAAAAAAGTTCTTCAATTGTTTTTCACTTCCTTTTATTTATTTACTTGTATTACCTTGTAAGTGATGTTTAAGTTTATTTTCTACTTAGTTATTTGGAAACATCTGGAGCTTTCTAACATTATGAGAGCTCTAGATAGAATTTTAGATGAGTATTCAGATTTGATTTATAGGAGATATTGATTTTTATCAAAATATTTTTTATTAATACATCACTGTGTTGCTACAAGAGTTTCTTGCTTAGCATTTCACTTGAATATTGTAAGAATTTGGGGGTAGTAGGCATAACTGTCTGATTTATATAATTGCTTCAATTCCCTTTTGTTGGCGTTAAAATTTTTTTGTTACGCTTTGCTTGAATTTTGGCTTTAATGTTTATGTTGTTTTGTTTGTAATTTTTTTGTTTTTTGTCTGAAATAAGTATACCTTTAATTTTTATCTGAAGCTTGAAGTTATTGTGACCATTAGTGAAGTTTTAGTTTTCTTTAATTAATTAATCGAAAATTTGTGTAGATTCAAAAAGAAGAGTTTATATCGTTAAAATTGTTATACAAATGTAAAGTACTAACAGGAGGCATTAAACCAAATATTCTGTTTTGAATGCACTTAATAAAAAACAGTCATACATTATGTATTGCTATTACCTTTTTTACTGTATTTGAATGTTCACAGCACCTATTTGTTTATCAAATATTTTTCTTAACACGACCTGGTTTAGTTTTTATTTTTGAATTTTGACTGCATTGGAAGTGTTGTTTGCTGCATTTGATCAACTTTTCTGTGAAATTTATACTTTCTTTTTTATGAGAATATTATTGATGAAATAGTATGGCAAACTTGTTTTACAGAAAACATAAGAAAATCGACTATCCGAGATGTCCAGTTTACTTTTGGGGAATCAACAGGTACACGACTGATTGATTATTCTTATTCATATTATTTTTTGTGGCTGTAGGGAATTTTATTGAAAAGTTTTATGTGATTGAAATTATTTTTTAAATTTGTTTTTACAGTTTCTCTCGATTATTACATTATTTTCTTATTGATATATTTTAAATTATCAATACATATATGCTCTCCTATAACAATCTTATTCTAAAATTAATAGTTTTTCTATGTTTATTAAGAAGAATATTATTTATGGGCTGTTGCGCATTAATAAATAACTTTACAAGCTGTAAGTCTCAAATATAAGTTAATATAATTAAGAGTATAATATAAAATTTTAAATCTTAACTATATGAAATTTTTTTAATAAATATATACCAATAAAATAAGTGTGGAGCTTAAAACAATAACTGTTATTTTAAAGTTTTCACTAATCTACTATTAAAATGTTAAAATTTTTTTTTTCTATTTTGATTTCATATAAGTAGCATAAAGTCAATATATATATATATATATATATATATATATATATATATATATATAATATATATATATATATATATATATATATATAAAGATAATATTAAAAGGATATTTAATATTCTTACACTGTTTTTTTATGTTTTGTTTTAATTTATCTATATTTCATAGATTCTTCTCGAGATGGGAGTCCTAGAAATTCAAGACTACTTGAAGATGCCACAGCTTCCCGTGGTCTTCCAGTGATAGTTGAAGTCCCAGCAAATAACAATGGATATGTACTAGCACAAACTGAATCTCTATCGGTATTTTATACTTTTGGATAAACTTCTTGCTGTTAAATACCTTTCTTATCAAAATTATAAGATTGTATCGATATAAACCCATAATTATCAATTTTATTTTTATAAACATAAGATTTAAATATTATTAATTATCAAATTGATTTTGCGACAGGATATCCCTACTATAGAAAAGAAAGGAGATAAAGAAAATCTTGATCAAAAGCTGAATCTTCCCAATAATGGAAATGTTACTCCGGCGTTTGGTATGTATCTGATTTCACAATCATGTTTTTCTTCAAAAATGTTTTAACAATGAATTTCTACTTTTATAAAAAAAATATTTTCAATTCAAATGAGTTGTAACTTGAACATTTTCACCAAACAAGAAGAGTTTTCTACTTTTTGGTTCTTATATAATTGACTTGTTTTTTTTTTATAATTCTTTGAATTTTATTCAAAATACTAAGATTTTGTATAACATTTAATAAAGTGGGCCCTTATTCATATACAGCTATCAATACAATTTGAATCTTAGTTTAGTATTAATCCCTAATTAACTAAAAACGAGTAATTATATTATTTTATATACCTACTTATTTCAGAAATTTTCTTCACTGGTGAGCATTATGCCAAATCATTCCTAAATATTGCTGAATAAAAATGATCTGTCTAGCTACATTCCTACTGAATCTAAAATTCAATTTATTTTTCATTATAAAGCTAACGAGTACAATTTTTGTTCTTCATAATTTTATTAAATACCTCACTCTGACCATTTTACAGCTTTAGTTAAGTAGTTAAGCAAATATTAAACAATTCTTAATAAAAACAAGCCATGATATTTAAAATAAACAAATTTAAAGAAAGGTTTTTTTTTTTATCTTTTCAAAAATTTCTCTTCCTTTTTTTTATTTTTTAAATTGTAAACCAATGACTTCCTGTCCTACAGTTTCCTTTAACAATACTCCACTTATCCCTGTTGAGCAAATCCGATACCTAGGACTCCACCTGGACAAACGACTAACTTGGAATCCTCATACTAGACTGAAACGACAAGAAACCGCTTGACGTTTCCGATTACTTCAGCAGTTACTAGACAAACGCTCTAAACTTCCCATTAATTACAAAAGACTCATATACTTGACTATAATAAGACCTATTTGGACTTACGGAGTTGAGCTATGGGGCTCCACTAAACCATCGAATTCCTCTCGCATCCAATCCTTACAATCCAAAATCCTTCGTAAAATCCTCAATGCTCCTTACTTTGTCACTAATAAAATTATCCATAAAGATCTTAATGTTCCTTATGTTTCAGATCTGGCCCAATCCAGATACCTATCCTTCCATAATAAACTTCAGAATCATCCCAACCCTCTCGTTTCTAACCTTGCTTCCTCTTCAATTCCTGATAACCCTCCGAGGCGTCTGAAAAGAAGATGGCCCCGTGATCTCCTAATGTAGTCATATCATTAGAGTGCTACCATTGGGTAGTTACTCAGCAAGTGTATTCATGTCATTATATCAATTATGTGCAAATTACTTGATTTATTTATGTAATACAGTTGTAAATGTCATAAAGAAATAAAAAAATATTTTTTTTAATTTTTTCCAAATAATAGACATTCAGATTCTTCTAGGGAAGGCAGAAAAAAACAACACTTAAATTATTATATTTTATTTATTCCTCCTTAATAATTAAATGATTCCTAGTTTTATCATTCTTTCACAATAACATAAGTTGTTTCATTACATCATAAGACTTGTTTAAAATAAAGAGGGCCTACTATATTAATGAGCAAATTAATCCATAGAAGAACCATTGTTAAATCATGGAGATTACAGATTGTTAATTGTTTATATGTTTTGTTTGTTTTTCTATGACTTTATTAGGAGGACTATTACTCAAAGATTTCATGGATATTGAAATTTTCAGCAGCTATACCTAAACAACCTGATATATAAGTGGTTAGGGTTGCATTTAACAAATTCCTATGATTTTAAAAAAATTTAAGATTTTCAAAACAGTAGTGGTAGTTAAAAATTTTATTTTATTTTAATCAACAATGTCATTAAAAAACTAAAAGTAAAAACATACAAAAATGTGTTAAATGTTCTAATTTAAGCATTTGTAATTTTCTTTATTATTATGGCATCGGTATCTTTACAACTATTTATATGTAATATCAAGGCCTATAAGAAGTCATCATACCCAAAATTATATATTTACAATGTACTTATTTTGTAATGAAGACGTAGTAAATGAAATTTTATTAAATAATAAAATTTAAAAAAAGAACTAGTTTGTGTCCATAGTTTTCCTACTGGTTGCTGGCTGGGTAGCAGCAGTTTATAATCTAATATAATCTTTATTTTAGGCCTGTCACCAAACAGTAGCGCTGTTCCTTTAATTAAAGAAAAGCCGCTGGAGCCGATGGTAATTAGTTTAATGGCTTTAACTAACTTAAGCTTATTGCCTATGTTTCAATTTCATGTTTATTAAAAATATTAGTTGATTTTGGTAAATGTAATAATTATTTGCGACATATATGGTATTTGAAATACACATTGTGTATTAACACTCTATATGTAGGAATTTTTTTAAAATTTATTGTTTACCATCGATGAAACAACAATTACTACTTTTCATGGCATAGAGTAAAAAAATAAATAAAAAAATATAGAAACTATGTGTATTTAAATATAAAATGACAAAACAATTTTCTCAGTTTAATGGAAAAAGTTACTAACCATAGTTTTGATCGTAAGATAAAAATGAAAATTTTGATAATAAGACAAAGTGAACTTTTTTTTTTTTTATTTCACTGAGCAAAATGTTTTCAAAATACTTGGTGAATTAATTTTCTGAAATTTTGCAATAAACCAACGAATCTTTATTTAAACAAAACAAAATAATGATATTATTGGTGTACATACCAGACACACTTAATTTATTTATGTAGCTCTGCATTGCTTCTTCTTGATCCACAATGAATTTGAACAGTGTAATCCTCTATCTTCACTTGTTTTAATCTGAAAGTTGCTACTCATTCTGCTAGAAAATCCAGCAGGAACCATCTACGATCATCTGTCTCAACATCTGGCATATGCCGATGATGTGAGCCCAAGTAGCATTATCATGAACATTTCGGGACTTTGAAAAAGCAGGAGCAAAGCTGGGCCTTAAGGTTAATGAAAATAAGAAGGTGTACATGAAGGGAAAAGAAAGTGAATAGGGAAATAACTTTCTGAGATCACAACTTAAGGTTTGGAAACCAGTTCAAGTACCTGAGAAGTCGGGTTACATATGATAACAAAGTAGAGAGTGAAATAAAGGCAAGGATTGTAGCAGGAAATAGAGGCTATTTCTCACTGCAAAGAGTTTAGAAATTTAGGTCTCTCTGAAAGAACCAAAATTCTTATTTAAAAAATCATACTAAGGTCAGTGGTTATGTATAGGTGTGAGGCATGGACCATAACCAAAACAGAACGCATGCTTAACTCCTAGGAGAGAAAAGTGTTGAGAAGAATTTGGGATGGAGTCACTGAGAATGGGATTTGGAGGAAGGAAGGAATGAGGACCCAATATTGTGTCCATGGATGGATAGGTCATGTGGAAAGAATGCCAAAGAGGATGCTCTACATGAAGCCGGATGGCAAAAGAAGTGGAGGATCAAATCGGTAAAGAATGTGGAGGACAATCTAAGGCAGCTGGAAGTTCGAAGATAGAGGGAGATAGCGCACATGACCATGGAGATTGGTTGGCTGTAGTGGAGGAGACACGGGTTCTTGCAGGACCATAGTGCAATTATAATAAATAATAATAATCACCAAAAATGAAATTTAATCAAATATTTATTGGAATAATACCCTAAAGTTTCATCAAAAGTGGATTAATCATTAAAGAATTTAAGAGGGCAAATTGGGAATGGCAATAATAATGTAATAAACGACATTATTTTCTTTTAAATTATTCATTTTTATTTCAGGATGCTCTAAAATGGTTTAATTTTCTTGTAAGGTTTCTAAAAAAAAAATTAATAAAAAATAAATAGAAATTAAACTATAATAAAAAAAAAGTAATGAACCACATCTGACAATCTTAGCTATTTGAAGTTGGATAAGTAAATAAGTTCACTTATATTCTGATTACTTTGATTATTTAATCTAATATAACGATATAATGGTTTCATTAAAAAAAATATAAATCTGTAAGTACTTACAACCTACATATAGTGTGTTGATACATTTTTTAAATTTTATTAGCATACATAAATACAAGGTAAAAATAAAGCAGAAAAAGAAAAAAATGTAATATCACGGTAGTAAAAAGGAAAAACAGTTTATTTTTCCCTAAACTTCCAATTTAAAAAAAAAAAAGAACATTCATCAATCCCTTAAAATATTTTTTCATATTTATTTTATAATTTATTTATTTAACTAACTGGTGTATCTGTTGTAAAGCAAATGCTGGTATTCAAAGTTGTACTGATTTTTAAATACTAAAAATTAATACAACTTCATCATTTTTTAAATATTTGTTTATATCAACAATTTTTAAAGTTATTATAAACAACAATATTAGAAAAAAATCATTAAAAATTAAATGGCAATACTGTTCACTGATTCTCTGAATTGTAATTATTTTAATTTAAATAAATAAAAAAAGAAACATTTATAGATGCTTTATTTATATTTTAGCAAATTGAAAACAGCAATGAAAATGAAGATAGGCCAGAGATCGCAAGGGTATTTTCTTTTCTTCAGATACTCACAGCATGTTTTGGGTCATTTGCACATGGTGGTAATGACGTCAGGTACTTATTTATGATTGTTTTTTGTTATAGTATTATTGATTGATATTATTTATTTTATTTTTTTGTGGGTGTTAATTTTTGTATATGGATTGTTGCAGTTAAATATAAATTTACTCTTTTTAAGATAATTATTCATCAATTAAATAAAATTTTATATTTCTAAATATCCTATTGTTATTTTCATATCTATTTATTATTAACCTTATAAGGACCTAATTACTCATTTATTTATAATATTTCTTTTTTCTATTCTAGCAATGCTATTGGCCCACTTGTTGCAGTCTGGTTGATTTTTGTAGAAGGTAGTGTCTTACAGAAAACCGAAACCCCTCTCTTTATTCTGGTATACGGAGGAATTGGGATATCTATTGGTTTATGGGTTTGGGGCCGCAGGGTAATTAAAACAATTGGTGAAGATCTCACTAAGATCACCCCATCCACGTAATTATTGCTTGAATATTATTAGTTTTTTTATTCTATTGTGTTTAAAGATATATAATATAGTTATCAATTTATTTATTCCAGGGGTTTCACCATTGAAATAGGAGCAGCTCTAACAGTATTAATTGCATCAAAATTTGGCCTTCCAATCAGCACGACACATTGTAAAGTTGGATCTGTTGTATTTGTTGGTTGGTGTAATTCTTCATCATCTGGGGTTGATTGGACACTTTTTAGGTTATTATTTTTTATTTATTTTTTTATTTAATCTATAAATATGTGCCCGTCTTTTTCCATGTCAGTGTTGAGGACTATAGACTTTTTGCTTTCACTTACTTGTATATGTAATATATAGTAAGGGAAATTATTGCGATTGTGAAAATTTTCGAATCTGCTTTTTCAACGGAAATACACCTTTTGAGGTCCCTTGAGTCCAAATAACCAAGTCCCGCAAAATGGTCTGTGTCTGTGTGTATGTGAACTGTCTAGCTCAAAAACGAAAAGTCATACAAAACTTATATTAGGTATTTATTGATAGATATATGCCTTGGATGTGACAGCGACTTTTTCCTTTAAATCCACTAACTGGAGGTGCCACTTATATTAATGGTGAAACACATTTTTACAATTTTCTCAAAAACGGATTTAACGATTTCCATTAAACTCGGTGTATCATTGTATAATTAAGTGGTCTTTAATTATAAATTTATTTAGATCTTATCCCCGTTGATGTCACTTTACAGGGCTTAAATGCCCAATATTCGTGTACGTCTTCCTGTAAAATACCTTTAATATGGTTTATTTAAAAAAAATTAACTCTCTTTTATTGACAGTTACTATAAAAATAGGCTAAATATGAAGTTTGAAAGAATATGATAATTGAAAATTGGAGAACAAAAGAAAAAATGCTTATCCTGGTTGAAAATGAATCTCCGGAAATAACAGACAGAAGGTTATAATATATTATTGGAATGTGGGGAATTTTAGAAAAAATTATATCAAATAAATAAATGTAGAAGGTAACGGAGAGTGATAAAAATATATAAATAATAATTTCAGAAAACTAACATTATTTAACGTAAATTACTTGTTCCAAGGAAATTAAATAAAAATTTTTTCTAAGTTTGAAAAAAAAAAAAATTAAATCCACTGAATCAAGTCAATACCATTGTTTAAAATACTATTTCATTGTACTTGTGTGAAACAAGAAGTGAAATATAAAAATATTCCATGGATATGTTTATAACCTTAAATATATTTACCATAGTTTAATAACTCTAGATATGATGTTATATTTAAATAATTCGGTATCTATTGGCCGTTTATTCCAAAAAATTATCAAGTAACCTTTTAGAAAATTAAATTAGTGAATAATTTGATGAATTTATCCTTTGTGAAATCCCAACATTATCCACATACAATTAGTGTGACAATTTTTAGCCTATCCATGGATGAAAATCTCGTAATTTCATTTTAGTAAACATTACAATGAAAAATAACAGTTTGATAACTAATAATCCTACAATCCATAGTCATTTATAGATTAAATATTCAGATACACTTTCAAATCTCTCTAGGCATACATGAGCTTGTCGGTTGACAGAATGACTAACTCCAATTTCAACATTCTTTATTATTAATTTTAGTGATGTTGCTAGTGGTAAAATTTATACCTTTATTCACAGTCATCTTCTTATACAATATCAACTTCTCATACAAAATCATCTTCTCATACAATATCAACTTACTCACTGTCTGTATAGATATAACTTTTCAAACTAGCAATATCACTAAAATGATATTACTAAAAAATGTTGAAATTGGAGTTAGTCATTCTGTCAATCGAAAGGCTCAGAGACTGAAGTTGTGTGTTTTAAAAAAGCAGATGGAGTAATTAAATTTTTATTGCCTACTGTCGATATAATAAATAGACTTTTTGTAATTTTAATGGTCTTAATGATTTGCCATCTTTAAGCTTTAAGCTTTAGCTCTGTTTAAAATGCACTTCAAAAATTTTATAATTTCCCAGCGTTGCCCAAAAATAATTTCTATTCAAAGTAGAGTAGTAAGCGAAAGTTTTGTGTTGCGCGGATCAGATTTTTTTAATTTATTATGTCTCTAGTAGATCTACTAGATGGGCAATCCATCATATTATTTAATCAGCTGACAAAAAAGTTTCTAGTTAGCACACTTTCTGAAGCCCAGGAACTAATATTTTTATTTGAGGTTTACTTTACCAGGTGTGTAAATATGAAACCGGAATTTTACTTTTGAAAATACACATTTATTGCATAAAATGTAGATAAATATTTTATACCAAATATTGTCCATCGCTAGCTATACATTTTTCCTATCTTTATGGCAATTTGCGAAAGTTATGCCAGAACACTTGTGCTCTTTTTTTGACGAATCAGTTATAAAGACATTTTCATAAGAAGTGATGTGCTGCTGAGCAAGTGTGTGCCCCATCAATGCAAATAAATAGTATTTAAACAAAGTCAAGTCTGGAAAGAAAGCTGTATGCACTCATATTTCCCAACTGAATCATCTTTTACACTGGTTATGCTCTGTGTGATGGTGCATTATCATGAAGCAAAATTACTTTCTGTTGTCTTTTTTCACCCAATCCTCAATTCAAATCAATGATTTGTTGTTGTCGATAGCATTCAGTGTGAATGGTTTCATGAGGAGTTTTAGCAGCTAATAATGGATTACACGCCCACATTCCAAGCTCTTCATTTCCTATATCAAAAAGGTCACTTTCGAATTTTTTAAACTACTTAAAGTACTGTCATTTACGAAGAGTATGCTTACCAAAGCTGCAACAAGCATTCAAACCAGTTCTACTGCAGTTTTCTTTAATTGATAGGAAGAAACTAATGCTACATGTAAATCATAGTTTGCAGGCACAAAACTTGTGTTCAACACCATCAAAACGATCCTGTTTTATGAACCTTGCATTGTTGTGAATTGAAAATATTTGCCAACTGTTGAAGTAACAAAATGGTGTCAATAATGCAGTTAAATGGTAAAGATATTAACTAGAGCCATCAATGGATGAATTTCAGTTTTATATTTACACACTTGGTATTTTATATAGTGCAGTTGGTTTCTATTTAAGATATTTTATCAATACATTTTTGTATACTTTTGAAATTAGATGATTTATTGATATGGTAGTTACAATATAGCACCTTTAAATTGTTTTGTTATTAATATACTTTTTTCTATAGGAATATAATTTCTGCTTGGGTTGTGACTGTGCCTGTTGCCGCTCTCCTAAGCGCTGGTTTCATGGCTGCTTTACGACCCATAGTCATTTAAAATTTTATTTTTTATTTTTTAAAGAAATCAATGTTATAGAAAATGTAATATTATACTGATGTACTTAAATGTTTTTGTACATTATTTTTTTTTTAAATGTTAACTAACTTAGTTTTTACTTTATGAATGATTTTAATTGAAGACGATAGAAAATTTAATTTTAATGAGAATCTTTGTAGCTATTAAATGTTATGGTTTTAATAAATGTTCATAGCTGATATTCAGGTGTACTGAAACAAGAGGATATTTGGACAGAATATTTAGAAAAAAAAATTAAACATTCTGAATCAATCAATCAAAGGCAATAATTTAAAATTTTCTAGTTGATTAATAGCATTTCACTGGAAAACAGTAATTTTTTTTTAATTCTAAGACATAATAAAACTTCTTGATTTGGACAGTTCATGAAGAAAGAAATAGTCATTTAATATTGGTAAATTGACATAAGTAGTTCAAATCACCTCTTGTTTACAGTACCAATAAAATTATGAATCTAAAAGTTGAAATGTTTTTTATTCGCTCAGACAAATAAAATAAAATTATTTCTATCTGTTTGATGTTTTCTTTATTTTCTAAATTTATTGTAATTTAGTTTTTGTGAACAGGTATTATAGTGATTTCCCAAGATATATTGTTTTAAATGTATGTTGTAGATCGAATAGACTTTAATATTTATTTAGTAGATCTATTTTTTATTTATATTTTCCTATATTATTTCAAAATAAAAGAAAAATAGTCTTTAATTAGAACATTAGAATATTTAATATATAATCTGTTTTTTAATAAGAACAGACCGTTTGACTTCTTAATATCCTATATTAATTTTATCATCTGACCTCTCTGATGAGAGAAACTTTATTAATTAGGAACAATCATCATAAATTAAAATTTATTAATTTTTGTAATCAAAATAGAAAATTATCATTATGTTTCATATTTTGTTTCAAGGAAGTAAAAATATTGTTAAAGACTAAGAATCATTTAGTCTAATTTTGTTTATTTTATCCTGTTACTTCTGAAACTAAAATTAGGAAAATTATTGTAGTTGATCAAATTTCACTTACTTTATAATAAAATTTCATGTTCATATTCTAGGATCTCCCGAGTTCGATAAAGTTTTTTTCTTAAAAAATATTGCGATTTCATTGCTCTGGTAACTAAGGTCTCCAGCTTCTCTCATATTATAATACCATCTTCTATAAATTATAATGTCATAATGCAGGAAATCATATACAATGAAACTTTAGGTTTATAAAGTCAGATATGAAAGCTGCAAGAAAAAATGTTCTAGGGGGAACATTCAAACAAAAAAAGTTCATTTACAACAAACTCTATTTTTTTTTTTATTTCAATTTAATCTTTTTTTAGTTGACACTTGAATTATTAAGAAACAAAAAGTATATTTAATCTTGTGAGTGAACTCATTTGACGAGTAAGTTAAAAGATTAAAAAAATTTATTGTATAGAACTGAGGGTTAAGAGAAATTCTACATGTTCCAATTAAGTCTGTAAGACTCAATATTCATAAGGCAAATATTAAGCAGATTATTTATGTTTTTAGGATAAAAAAAAAAATTTAATAATTTATTATGTTAGATAAATTTATTAAATTTAATTTAATTACTACATTTACATATAGTTATACAGCGTGTCCCGTAAATAGAAGGAACTATTTAAAAGGTTGATAGTAGACATCAAGATCTACAAAAAAAAGTTCATATTGCTCAATTTCCAGCAGAGAAGTAGGAAATTTAAGATTTGTGTTTTTTTTTTGTGAGGCATGTTTTTGGTTTTTAAGGAGAAACAGAGTTGAGATTCGTATTTAGCACCCTGAAGAACCCTCAAATATTAATTTTCATAGCAATTGAAAATAAAACTTTTTTTCTTCGAGTTTTCACCAAGGCCTTAGTTTTTTCATGAAAAACTCTAAAAATTTGATAACCATGGACTTTGAAGTATGAGGTTTGAAATGAAAGGACATTTGATGGAGATGTCAAAAACGATAGTCACATCCTCCCGAAAGTTCGGTGGAAAAAGTTATGAAGAAATAGAGACATTTTTATTAGCAGATATCTCAAAAATTCTTTTAAGGTGAAACAGAGTTGAGATTCGTATTTAGCACCCTGAAGAACCCTCAAATATTAATTTTTAAAGCAATAAAAAAATAAAACTTTTTTTCTTCGAGTTTTCACCAAGGTTATAGCCTTAGTTTTTTCACGAAAATCACTAAAAATTAGATAACCATGGATTTTGATGAATGAGGTTTCAAATGAAAGGACATTTGATGGAGACATCAATAACAATAGTCACATCCTCCCGAAAGTTCAGTGGAGAAAGTTATGAAGGATAGGAATCTTTATTTGTAAATAACTAAAATAGTTAACAATTTCTCATTGATGTGCACCATGTTACTATTATTTGTTGATATGTACCAATCATTGTTTGAAAGACTTCTGAATTACTTACAAAATTAAAAAAAAAATCATCGAAATCTACTTGAAATTTGAATATTTGTAACACTTTTTTGAATATGCTATTTTTTGTATATCTTGATGTCTACTATCTAACTTTTAAATTTTTTCCTCTACTTACGGGTCACCCTGAATAATTTAAATATATGAGTGACATTGTTAAAACACATGTTTAACGTACTTCTAAATAAAAGGATTGGCGGCACGTAATTTACACTCTTAAATGACAGTGTAATATACCTCCCTCAGACTGTGTCAGCCTTAGACTGACCTATTTGGATGCAAAGTTTATTGTTAATTTTTTTTCTACATTTATGACTTTTTTTTATATTTCATTTGAGCAATCAATTATTATAATTAGTAATAATTTTTAGAAGTTTATCAGAACATATTAAAAAAATATATGATACTATGATAGTGAATCACTATACAAAACTATATTTTATTACTAAAATAAATGGAGAGAACACAAGGTTTCAAAGAAAAATAACGCTTGATAGGAAACAATTTATTACTTCTTAAAGTATCTATTATTAACACAGTATGTGAACTTAAAATTATAATTTAGTGTTACATTAATAAGCACATTATTGCAAAATATTATTTTACAGTCTGAAAAGATGGTTTTTATATAAGCATATAAAAAAATGAATGAACAAATATTATAAATTATGAATTTTATTCATACAAATATTTAGCTGTGAAAAATGAATTCTAAGCCATGATCACTAATTGAAGATTTTTCTACAACAAATAAATTCCACTCTAATTACGCCTAAAGACTAGTCGACTTATCTCAAATAAGATTCAGTACAAATACAATGCTATCTATATATTTATAATTTTTTTTTGTATTTTTTAAACTTTATATTATTTACTGTTACAGATTATTTTCACTATTGTGGAATCAAAACATTATAAGAAATGAAAAAAATATTACTATTATAGAAATCCACAGATATACGTTCAAAGGCTGGGATCTAAACAACATCTTATAAAATTTAAATAAACTTCAATCCATATTAGGCCATATTTCATAACCTAAGGCGAATAACATAAAATTAATATTGTTACCATATGATCCCAACAAACTTTGACCTTATATCGGAAAATGTACAATTAAATATTAAAAGTACCTACTAGGAATACATAGAGACACTAATAAACTTAACAAAATTTATTATCACGATTAATATATCCATGTACTCAATATCTTTTGTAAAATCATTCATCATCGAGTTATTATATTCAAATTGAAGGATTATTTAAAAAGTATGTATATAATAAAACTAGCAAATAACAAAACGTCAAAAAATAATTTATAATCAGAGCCTGGATTTTTATGCAGTTATAAAAGCAATTCACCAGCTTTCATTATCTTTTTATGCGATTCTCCTAATTTCTTTCACGAGTTGTTTATTTAGATGCAATTAAAATCCAGTTTTATTTTGTGTATTTAAAAAAAAAAATTGATGAAACAATTTTTCTTTAATGATTAAAATGTATTTTTAGTTTAAGTTTTAAGCAGAAAAAAGTCCAAGAGAAAACAACCAATAAAAGGACACTTGTTTATTTAGACTCTTTTAAAAATATATATTTAAATATAATTTATTTTTACTGAATAAAAACTCGGTCTCTGTTTATAATCTCCTAAAATGCATATTTCATATAATGTTTCTTTAACATATATATATATAAATTTTTTTTTGACATAACATTTATTAAGTGGTGATATAACTATTTACAATTTGTTATTAGAAACAATTAATAATTACCTTTATCGCCACCGATACCTAAACACCAATTTAACATCAATTTCTAAACAAAATAAACAGCCATAACAAAACAAAATGGCACGCTGGCAAAGTCAAATAATAAACATTTATCAATTTCCAAGCTATTATACAATATCACAGGTGAAAAATTTACCCAAACCGAATCAGTTGGTATAATTTCAACTTTCACACGATTTCATTCACTTTTTAATTTATTTTTTTTACATTGTGGCATAGGTAACTAAACTAATATTTTGTATCATAATTTCTAATTACATAATTAATGATAAAAACAAACAAAAAAAGCTTCCGAAAAATTAAAATAAAATGCTACACTTATAAAGAAATATTAAAAAAAAGAAAAAAAATTTATCTGTACACTTTCCTTTAAAAAAATTACAAAACTTTTTTTTTTAATTAATTTTATTTTATATTTTTGTATTCACATTTCAACCTACGCGTTATATACAAATTATTTTTGAATAAAACTGATTTAAATTCCATTTACACATAACTAGGATTAGAAAAATTTACGTTTAATTATATTGAAAAAATTAATTTTTATAAACAATAGATATAGTATATACATTAAATTGAAGGGATTATAAATGCTGGGAAGACTGCTTTTTCCACAGTTCATTCCGAGCTGTAAATCACAGAACCCTCATCAAGTCAAAATATTAATCCTTCGAGAATAAAATATTTTAAAAAATAAGTTAAAATATAACGCTATTAATTTTTATAAAAATACATAGTCTATAAAATTTTAGGATAGTGTAACACGATATTACAGGCGAAAATATTTCATTCATAGATGTTTTGGATAATAACTGTATTTACAAATGGCACCCTTAAACCGTGCAACTTTCAATGTCAATATAAAATAATTTTTCAAACGGGTTCAAAAATAAAATGTATGGAAAAATAAATATATTATTACAAATAAATAACAATTATAATCATGCGCCCCTTTATATATAAATATATCGTGTACACAGTTGAACCCACAGGAAAATGCTTTCTAAGCATGGGCGATAATCAGAAAAAAATGAACGGCACTTGGTGCATTAAAAAATACATTAATCTCTAATAAAATAATCTATAAGAATTTCATATATACATTTCTGATATATATATGCTGTTGTTTTTTTGTGTTTTTTTTTACAATCATATACACATAACGAAAATTTTAGCTAAATCTTCCCAAACCAAAACTCTGAGGAAACTCAAAACACATTTAAATATGTTTTGTACATATTTACTAATTTTCAAAATCAATAAATAAGCAAAAGCATATTTTCCTTCACAATAAAAAAAAAAATTAAATTAAATAATAATGAGATGATTTTGTTTAACTTTAAAGTCGCGTGTCCATTTACTGATAAATAACACATTAATGCCTGAATAAAATACCAGATATTTAAAAAAAACAACATAAATAACTTACTGAACAACAAGAGCAATCCATTTACAAATAAAATTAAATATTTTTATGGAAAGAAAAAATGCTTGTGCTTTGCAAAAAAATTACAGACCAAGTTACATTAACAATCGTGTAGATAACGTTAACAATACAAGAGTTGGAAGGGAATAAGAAATAGCAAATGCTGATCCTTTGGGCTTGTCAGTTTTGCCTATCTTATTGCCATTGATCTGAGTTGTTGACGGAATTGAAGGGATCTTTGGCAGGTCATAGACTGAAACAAACAAATTTAAAGATATAAATAACACTTATAATTATATAAATAATAAAAATAATTAATTATTTTGTTTTTGGGGAGTACTAATACTCATACAATACAGTCTTATAAAAAACATATTTATGGCAAACCAATATTCATAAGTGTTAGATAACAAGAAAATTATGTTTTATGTTCGAGTAGATTTATATTACATTTTTTTTATAAATGTATAAATAATTGTGTAATATTTTTTTGATGAACAATTTTTATTGAGAAATAAAACATTTGCCTCAATTAAGGGCATTGAGTATTTATAATGAATGAAGTACAATCATACCATATATACAATAAAAGAACAACAAGATTATAAGAAAATAAAATAAAATAAAACTTGGAGTAACAGAATAAATCAAACATGATACAGCATTAGATAAAAACTAAAATAAAAAATAATAAATAAAAAATAATAATAAATAAAAACACATTCAAACTTATTTACAATATTTACAGTCAGGAGCTCTGAGTCGGGCCTTTTTCCCCACGTGTGGAGGATAAGGCAAGACTCCAAGAGATCCCAGCGCTTCTCTCTCAGCCACATCACTAGGATGGGAATCCAGTGGAGACTGAGAGAGGGCACAAAAGCCACATACGCTCATGACTTGAGTGGAGAAGCTGGCCATTGCCAGGACTCCAATGAGGTCTTTACAAAAGATGTCGAGGCCACTGCCGCTTCAACTTTCGAGGAGGATTGTAGGGATGACTGGAACTGGATAAGGATTGTGCTAAGGGATTAGGATGATAGGTTAGGTTCTGATGAAAATTTGAAAATTGGGATGGAATAACGTCAAGGACATAAGGGATGTTAAGGTCGGGGGTTAAAGGGACTTTAAATGCTGAAAGATATACATCTTCAATAATTTAGTTTGCAGTTGTCAAAAGGTTATTTTGTACAATTTTAGGTAAAAAAATAGATGCTATTTTCTCTCTATATCTATATATTTTTTCCCGATAAGCAATATATTAATATATAACTGCGGCAATTTAAACTACTACAAATATAATACCCTGATGTTAACGTTCTTCTCCTTCATTTAAAGCTTAAAAATATTTATACACAAATGGATTTTTTTCTGAATTAATATCGTCTCGTAGTTTAAGTATTTCAAAATCATTAAGAGTGTTAAAAATATATCAAAACCAGTATGATAAAAAAGTATAGTTTTATTAATGTTTATTTTCAAGGATTTTTTAGAAAATCATTGCAAAGTTTTGTACCAATTAATAATAAATAATTAATTTGTTGTGAGTAAATTTTATAAAATGTGTATGGATAATAAATTGGTGAATGAATAATTTAATAACATACCTCTACCATCTCCTGAACCAGAACCTTCTTCATCTACTGCACCATCATCTTCATCATCATCTACACCATCACCACTTCCGCCGGATCCACTCTGCACTGTTAAGGAATCGGCTACAAGATCCCACCTGTCACTTTTATAACGTCCCAAAACAACCTAAAATAATAAAAATATTAAAGAATAATGTGTGCACAAATATTCAGTATTTAACAGAAATGATTATAGATTTAAATATATGGCAAGCCCACTCAGATAACTTTTGTATTAATTTCAGATGAATTTAAAATACTATAAATTTAAAATTTGTGAGAAATTTAATAATTATATTTCAAATGAGTTTCTTGAATATTCCAAGAGGTTTTATGACCTATGATTTATTTGGAAAATTAAAAATAAAGTAAACAGGTTTCCATGGAAACTTGCACAAAATACTTTTTAAACCATGAATGCTAGATGAAAAATTTGATTATATGAATAGTAAACTTCAATTTGAGCTCCAAATAAGTTTTGTAGTCATATATTTGTATAAATAATAAACTTTTCTAACTTGATGGCAAAATACAATAAAAAGTAATTATATTAAAAATATTACCTGTCTCATAAATCTCAGCTTATCACTCAAATGCCTGATGTTAGGATCTGGAGTTGTCTCGGTCCATTTCAATTCTGGATTGTACTTTTGAGCATCGATTCCTGGTTTAACTAATGCTTTTGTATACCTGCAAAATTCAAAATTGAATAAATTATAACTCAATGTTTATTAAAAACTGAAATACTAGAATGAATTGAAAGAATAATAGAATTTTATGAATGACATGAATCATTTGAAGTTTTTATTCCAGCCATTGTTGTGTGTCTGTGCCAGGATTATCTCTCAGATGGCTGGACTGATTTTATTTTATTTTTTTTTGTAGTGTGACGTCCATGTACCGAATAGGGCGCGTTGCGCAATAAGCGGAAAACGTGTTGTAATATGTGAAGTCAAAACGGCCCTTTAATTTTCATATATATCCCATAGAAAAAGTAGGGAAAAAAGTAACGACGAAAAGGTATTTTCGCACGACGTAAATTAAAAAGTATAGATTTTATGACAGATTATATTTAAAAGGTAGACCTCTCATGGTACTTGTTAAATATCTGGTCGGGTTCGAATGCTATCTGCCAATATTTATAACGTTAACACTGATAATTCTGATAACGCACTGATAATCTCTTCGTATTATATTCATACTATTGAAATTGCTATAAAAAACAAATGTAATAATAAAAAAATACTTTTATTGTACAAGATATATATTAAATAAAAATAAAAATAAATTAAATAATAAAATAGGTAAAAATAAATTAAATAATAAAAAACCACTTAAACAACATATGTACATATAAAAGAAACACTATGAAGACTATAAAGAACATATGTACAATAAAAGAAACAATGTAAACACTTTAAACAAAATATGTACATAAAAAACAATTTTATTTTAATTTAATTTATTTTGGTAGGAAAAATAGTTTTATGCTATTTAAAATAGCGAGGAAATAGTTAAATTATGAGACCATCCATAAATGAATTTTAAAGCCGTTAAAAAAAAATCTAACCAGTTTCCTTTTCCTTATAGAAACATCCTAAATTTTACGAAAATAACACTAACTCAGAGCTTACATGAGGAACAAAAAATAAACAACGGAATAACTTAGGTTAGACGAGATAAGAAGGGAGGTTATGTGATATAAGATTAGATAACAAGGGAGGTTTCGATGGGACTAGCTATTTAACAAGTGCCCCTCTTATTTTGCAGCAGAAGGATGGCGACCTCTGGGATTTTTCTTTAAGGCTTCCGCTCCAGTACAGAGGATGTATGCTACGTACGAGAGGAAGCTGTTGGCTACCCGCCTGGCGATTAATCACATCAGGCCTTAACTGGAAGGAAGGCAATTTGAAATTTGGACGGACGACAAACCACTGGAGTATCCATTCCTGCAGAGGCCTAAATCATTCGCCAAATATCCGAAGAAGAAACTTTCAAGAGTTCGAGAGATCGATTGTTCCGAGGAGTACGCATAACAAAAGAAGGATCCATTGAGTCTGTTTAAATAAGTTGTAAAAAGACAGCAGAGAAGAAAATTAATGAAAGAGAATCCAACTAATTATACGAAGAGCGAATGGGGTGATTGATGGAAAAAGACAGAGACTGGGACATTGGAAGAAAGGGTAGAAGAAAGAAGAAGCTATTAGGGGAGGGAGGTGGCTCTAACGATATGCAAACACAGCTAGGGACCTCATTTCGGTTTACAGTAACGAGTCTTGCAGTCCTGTCACAGTTCTTGTATTACATCGCTACAAACATAGAAGATACAAATGTAGTATCTAAACGTTGTGTACACTACTATTATATACGTATTACATCTACAGTATATATTGGGTTGTCACACATGAAACGTACGATTTTTTAAAGCTTAAAATATAGGGAATTTAAGGGATTCAGACATATCTAAGTGTAATGCTACGATACAGTATTTTTCTAGCACCATTTTCGAATCATAGAATTAAAAATATTATATGATATGAACTATTGTTCTTCGGAATTTAAATCCTTTATGTACTCCAACATGAGCAAAAAAGAGGGATTATTTAAACTAAACCCTCATATAATACTTGTATAAGGCTTGTATATAAAAAATCTTGATCAGTTCAACAAAATATTTTATTTTATTATAACTGTTTGTGATTCTATCAATACAAGTACAAACCCTCAACTTTAGGTCAGTGTGGCATGTGTTCATATGTCCGTGAGCGTACGTGTATTTATTCACAATTTGGGTGTCTTTTAAATTATTATTAATTGTACGATTTCACATGTGCATTGTAATCCTAAGATCTCTGCTATTTGTTTTGTTCTGCATAGTAGATTTTCTTTAGTATACAAATATTTTTATTCATTTATGATATTTATTATATAAATATATTTATATATAGATAGTAAAAGTATTTGGAGTATAAAAATATTAATGATATTTGTTATATAAAAATAATTTTATTTTTCTCTTCTTATACTGTACTTATTTACTCATTTGTTTCTACTTAAAAAACTAATCCCTACTAACACTAAATGGGCCAGACTCCATGACTACGATGTATATTAAGCCAATAAAATGTTTCTATTCCAATACTTGAATAAGTATTGAAAGCAATGAATCCAAGATAATGAATGAAAAATATATACATTTTTTTAAATTGGCTACAAAATAAAAATTAACCCTTCTAGATGGGATTCGAACCGGCGCCGCTTCTGAATCGATAATCCTCCAACTCGCTAGACGATTACGGCCTCCATTAACTGTAAAGAGTTTAGAAAGCTGTAAGAACTTTAAAAGTAATGTCGTTCAATAATAATAAACGGAGATTTATTTTTTAGTCTTTAAGGAGTTATCGATGAAAAAAAAAATACATATTTCAGTGAAATATATGGTCATATAAGTTCTAAAAACGCCTCAGTTTTTAATCAAAATGAGTTTAGTGTCAAATTTTTTTTCCGCCTAATTGAATGGTTATCATTCAAACGAGCTACAGGCATCCAAAATGGGAGAAAAAAAGACGAAAAATTAAACACAGCCTTATCATTACCACTTTATCTATCTTATCTAAAGAACTTGGATGGCACAAAGTACAGATCTAGGTTTCTAATACTTTTAAATTAAGTTATATAGTTCATAAAAATCTAGACTGCAGCTGTTTGAAGGTTATCATTTCCATTATAGCCTCAATGTAAAGCAACCGAAACTATCCGGGAACCCAACTCCGTAAGTTTGGAAAATGTATTGGATTTATGGATGCATGAGGTTAAAGTTTGCTATTAATTACGTCGTTGCTAATGATACTAAGCAGCTTTTTGTAACTTCTTTATTGTTGGAAAAATGGTTAAATAGAGTGTTATAACTTAAATTACAATATAATAACACAATTTCTAATATGGAGAAAAAAAAAATCATAGAGATAAAATTATAAAAATGTATGGATTTATGAAAATTAATAATAAATGAAATTGAGGATTATGGTAAAATTCGCGAAAACAGTAAAAATGTCATAAATCACGATAACGGCGAAAATTGTAGAATGCGCCTTAATATTAAAACCGCAGAAATAGCGAAAATGTAAACGGCAAATATTGCAAAATGTAGAAATTCTAGAAAACCGAAAAATGCCGAAATTCGAGAAAACAGCAAAAATTGCAAAATGCCTGAACATTTCGAAACTCAAGAAAACTGCTAAGCTGAACAAGCCTAGAGTTGAAAAGTTCATATAGCGACATAGGCGTGGTCGATGTGATTAAATTTTCGCGATTGCGATGGGCAGGCCACGTCGCCCAGGATGAACCCAAAGGAAATCCCATCTAAAGTCCTACCGGAGAAGCTATTTGGAGTTCGGAAGGCTGGACGCCCTAGACGCCGATGGGAAGACTGTGTTATTACCGATGCATTATCGAGCAGGCCAAGACTCAGCGTGTAGAGCCGTATAATAAAAAAATAAGAGAAAACTGCGAAAATATGAATAATCGCTGAAATGGAGTAAAACGAAGAGATAAAACAATAAAAATATGTGGAATTATGAAAATTCGAAATAGGTGAAATTTGGAAAAATAGCGAAGATGACAAACTTCGCGAAAACGACGAAATTCTCGAAAATGCCGAAATTCATAAAAACAGCAAAAATGTTGAAAGTGGGTAAATTCGTGAAAACGGCGAAATACGGAAATTTGCGAAAAAATGTCGAAATTCCTGAAAACTAAAAACATCTCGAAATTCGCAAAAACAGCAATGTGAAACCCCTTAGTCGCGAAAATGGTTAAATTACCGAAAACATTAATTTAATGACAGTACGCATAAGTCGATATATTAATAAAATCGTATAGAGAATATAAAAATATAGAGAAACGATCTCTTATAATATTTTTTCAAAATAAACCACTTGTGTTAATGAAAAGTATTTATTGGAAAATATTGTAGAAAAAGTCCTGAACCTATTTAATCAAAATACAGAAATAATTTTTTGGAACATGTTGGCAATAAATATCATATTTCCAATAAAATTTATTTCCAACACTTTGTTTATCTTTGAACAATACTGGATTATAATTTTACTGTATATAGGCAGTTTTAGGTAGTCCATCGGCATTTTCATTCCAGGATCACCCCAGATAGAAATTGCGGGACTTGCTGCCTACTTCTTAATTCTAAATAGAAATGATCGACGCCTACTATTTTCTTTTACACGAACACGAAGGCATCGTAGTACGGTTCGTACTGGAGCGACGAGTAGAGATAAGTATTTATCCTTTAATTAAACTTTACAATCTAATAAAACTGACAAACTCGTCTTACTATGTATTTATCACAAAGTAACAACCATCTTAAATAACACGAAAATAACGAAAATTATTAATAATTAACGATTAAGTGATATCTTTGGGAGGGGAAGAGGGGGAGCAAAGAAGACAAAGGATGCGGGAGGGAGGTGTACTATATGTTGCCGCTAATGACCGAGATCATTATAGAACGCCTAAGTCAGCCTTGATACTTCCTCGGTTGGTTCTATCTTCTCCCGCTATACTCCTTAGCTCCTTGGCAGGGTAAGCAAGCTTACATTTATATATATCGGGAGGAGTAAGAAGAATGATTACTTTTGAAATACTTAAACCTTCTAAGATTGTTTACACAACTTTTTTTAAAAACTTAAATATATAAATTCTATAGTTTATTTATTTTCAAACATCTATTTAAAAGCAATACTATTTGTGTAATACTGAAAATTATTTCCGAAAAAGATAGTCTTTAGTGAAGAGAAGTGACAATTGTTATTCATGAGTCAGTCACAGTATAGTAATGTATACTATCACTTTTTTTTCCTGGGAAGTTGTCAATTTATTTAGTTCCTTGGCAATCCAATTATTAACAATACGAGTATATTTTTAACGTTACATGTTAACAGTCTAGTTTACGTTTCGGGACCTTTTATTCCCATCTTCAGAACTGCAATTCCAATACTCTTGTGGATGCAAGGCTTAATTCTAATAATAATAATAATGTGCTCCATCGTCAATTTTCCAATATATGTTCTAAAATTTATTATCTAGAGCAACATTCTCCTTTTGACCAATAATTCAATTATTGGTCAAAAGGAGAATGTTGCTCTAGAAAATTGACGATGGAGCACATTATTATTATTATTAGAATTAAGCCTTGCATCCACAAGAGTATTGGAATTGCAGTTCTGAAGATGGGAATAAAAGGTCCCGAAACGTAAACTAGACTGTTAACATGTAACGTTAAAAATATACTCGTATTGTTAATAATTGGAAGTTCTTATTGCCAAGGAACTAAAAAAGTATACTATCACAATAGTATGGCTATAGTATAGTATAGTATACTATCACAGTATAGCAGGGTTTTTTTTAGTAAATTAAAAATGTAAAATTCAAAGAATACAAGACATACTGCCAACATTGTTCACAGAAAAACATCATATCAAATTATATAACTTCCCAGTCGCTCTCAGATGCCTCTGAAAAGAAATGATTCGATAGGCCTTGCCTCCATTCAAAGACCCCGATCTCCATATCCCTCTCCCTCTCCCTTCCCAGATATTCGGGAAGATATAGAGAGCTGAGGAGGCAGGAAGGTGTTGGAACAGGGAGGTGCTATTGGGATGCAGAAGAGCTCCCGATATAAAGCCTGCTGTTTACCTGGCAGCTTACCACACCTGGAATCAGTTCTTACCCTCTCTGACCTCTGTTCCAGTCTTATTTCTGGAAGGGAATTCGACCTATGCCGTGGAGGGAATCTCCAAATAACGTTGTTACCATATCGAAGACAAAAAGAGGAAAACTAGTTAAACGTTTTTATGGAGAATAATCGACGTTACTTCAAATAGATGTCAACCAGCTGTGAGTTTGCCATAGTTTCATATCGCGATCTAAAT